TAGATGTCACTACAAATAGAATTCAAAAAATCTGGTACATTTAAAAAATCTGGTACATTTTTTAGACAAATCTGGTACATAACAAAAATATATTCTGGCAACACTGTACCAAATCAAACAATTATTCGGTCTTCTGTCATACGTCATACTGTCATTCATCTACTATGAAAATAAAACCATGGTGAATGACAATAATTGTCTTTCATCCTGAATAAAACTAAGATTATTTTATTTGTTCTCATTTAAAAAAATGTGTTTAATTAAGAACTGTAACATTAATAAATTGAAAGTATGTATGTCAATTCAACGATTGTTCCCGAAAAAATTCTTTATGGCAAGGTAAATACAAGTATTTTTAAAGTTGTTTTATTTTTAATAAAGTTTTACGAATCTAATTTGTTTTATATTTTGTTTCAGTGTCTAAGACATTTTAAAACTACTTTAAAATGGTCTATTTTGTATCAAATTTTAAATTATGCAAATGGAAATGTACAATAAACGTTTGATAAAGATAAAGACACATATGGTTTTTCATTTTAAAAGTTTGAATCGGAAAAATGGATCAACCAGTTGAATTTAATATAGCTACTCATAATGAGAAACTAAGAAATGGTATGTACATTTAAATAGTTCATAAGTTATTTTTGCCTGTAATTATCAATTGTATTACCATCTAGTTTAAATTTTGTGCATACAAACCTGGTAAATTAGTTAACAGTTGGTAATAAAGTATGTTTCGAAAAGAGCAATAAGTATCAAACAAATTTTAATTTTGGTTAGGCACTTAACAAGTCACATCCCACATATCTATATGCTCTGGGTCATCAATCCTATAAGTACATATTAAAACAATAATACACTATCTACAATTAAACAATAATTTAAAAATACAGGTGAATCCGATTTACCTATTTAGACAAAATAATATTATTTATTAAAACACATTATTTTTTAGTAAACTTGAACATGCAAAAGTCAGCCATGAGCGTAGGACATCAGTGAGAGCAAGAATACTTTGGAATGTGCTGTGAAATACACTTAGAAAGGGTCATATGGAAAATTAAGTGAGATAACATTTTACGATGTGTATCTTACTATTTTAGTGCACAGTAATGACAATTATGTGCTGCTATTTCAAACTTTTAGTATCATTTGATAAAATAAGTTGTATATTATTGTTGACCTTTTTAAATTGTTTATTTTACCTTATATTTTTTAATCTTCATACAGTATTCTGTGAAGAGTATTATAGCTTTACTTTGTCCGTCTGTCCGATGTCACGTTTTTTGTCTGCAGGATAAGTCAAAAACGAGAAATGATATTAACTTAAAAATTTTAATCCAAAATCAAGCTCCATAAGGGGACAAAGCCTATTGATTTTTAACAAATATGAATAAAAATAGGAGGTTAAGATGGGTTGAAATTAAAAAAAAATCCTAAATTAAGAACGAAAAGCGATATCAACATGAAATTTTTAGTAAAAATCAAGCTCTTTAAGGAGATGAGGCCTATTGATTGTGAAAACAATCTGGTTGAAAATGGGGGTTAAGGGGGTTTGTTAAACTGCAAAAAGTATCATTTAGAATGTCAGGCATTATATGTATATTTTTATTCTAGTTTTTATCTGTGTAATATTAGGTATTGTGATGGAACTGATCTTATAAAATAAACATTTAAAACATTTTAGTTCTTATTTTATTTGCCAATAAAAGGTATTTAAAAAATATATATTTTATTTGACATCTGTGACAAATTGTGAAAATGTTTAAACTTACAATAAAAACTGAAAAATGGTAGGTAAAGTTTCATATAATATTTTTTACACAAAAATCAATGTCAAGCTTTCTACATGACCTGATATATATTTAAAGATAATCTTAAATTATGAAGAAAAGTCAGTTTACTAACTAATAATATTTATAGATGGTTTTCAACGTATTAAAAACAAAATTATTGGAGAAAGTGAACACCCATTTTAAATTACGACGAGCCGCTCTGCTCACCTGTTTTACGGTGTCGCTATAATTTTTATATTACATTTTTTCAGATGTGAGAAATAATCAAGGAAAGAGTGCTTGAGCGCGTTTTCTTCTATTGAAAACAACCTTTCTTCTACCTTATTGTCATTTAATTAAATTTATATTTAATTGATTTGTGTTATAAAACAACGAAGAAAATATACCTAGAATATACCACTACGAAATTTTAAACACGGAAAATATTCCATATACTGAGTCGAAGAGGAACATGCACATACTAGGAAGAGACCGCTGCCGCTCATCTCTCCTAAATCTATGTCTGATGTGTGAAATGGTGCGAGTAAAAGCAGAGGTCGTATCGATGCTTGCTGACAAGGGTCTATCTCTGTTTTGTGCTTGTTTCTATTAACCTTTTTCAACTCATTGTAAGGTATACTTTTCGTGTTGAAAAATCCGTAACCGTATATAAAGTCTCGGAAATACCCCAAGTATATTAGCTTTCTTTATTGTTTAAATATAAAATGGATAAAACAAAAGTTACTAGATTTTTACACGTCTTAGATTAATTACATCATGTTATTTTGTCAGGTAGCAGTTATTAAAATAATTTCGAATTTGTTAATTTGTTAAAAATTTTTATATTTTGATGTTTCAAAAGTATTCAATAAAATGGTAAAACGATTTGGTGATCAATCCTATTTTAAGAGATACAAATCTATTTGCGAGGCTCTTGGAAAAAGGTACAATCAACTGGCTTCAAAGGAATTAAATGTTTCGCAGAATACTATCTATAGACTTAGTAAACCAACAATTTCTGTTACTCAGTATGTGAAAATAATGTCTAAAAGTAAGCCAAAGTAAAACAAAAGTCAATTATTTAATATTAAATAGGTTGAGGCAAGTTATACAGGGTGTTTCATAATATATGTGCAGGACTTCAGGACATGATAGCTCGTTCAAAAATATGAAAAAACGATTCTATTAACTTACCCTCTAAAATGCACCATTTTCGAGATATATGGTGTAGAAATTGAAAAAAAATCGACGCCACTGAAAAAAGTATGGTTTTGAGATGCCCATTTGAACCGCCAATATTTTCTACACAAAAAAGGTACTCTTGGTCATACGCTCTAAAGTCGAGAAAAATCAAATTTTGTTTCATCAAGTAGATTTTAAATTTCAAAACAAAAGCTACCTCCTGTCAAAATAACAATTATTTTGCGCCTGCAAAAAATAAATTTGTAATATAAAATTTAAAATGAATTACACAAACGCTGAAATGTGCGAAATGCATTACCTTTACGGATTGGCGGAAGGTAATACGGCAGAAGCAAGGCGGTTGTATCAAGAAAGTCATCCTGATCGCCAAGTACCACACTATAACTTGTTTCAACGCATTCACCAACGACTATGGGATAGTGGGTGGCCTATGGAAGTTGCAATTCCCAAAGAAGAGGCTGTCTTTAACTAAATTGAAGAAAATCCGACGTCAAGTACCAAACAAATAGCTCACAACTTAAACTTATCTCACTCGACGGTGTGGAGAATTTTGAAAAGACAACTTTGGTATCCCTATCATATCCAAAAAGTACAAGCCTTATTGCCAAGAGATTTTCCGCCAAGATTGGCTTTTTGTAGATCAATACAAGACATAATAGCTCAAAATCCTCGGTTTGGAGCCAAAGTTCTGTTTACCGAAAAAGTATCTTTCTCGAGTAACATTTAATAAAATTTGCAGTCATACCTATATTTCCCAATTTCAATTAAAAAAAGAGTTAATGGATCGATAAGCAATAGAATGTGAGGGTTTAGATATCGTCGTTTAAGAAACAATACCGCCTAAGTGACATATTTGTTGAAATTAGGATTTTGCATTAAATATCCCAATAGCGCGCATATGCATCGTCTAACCTTGCCTGACGGTCGTTTTAATCAGCAGTTTTGTCTCCCCACCTGTTTTAAAAATACCGCCTATTGAAAATCATTTGGTAATACCGCCGATGTCCCAGTTAGAACGTGGTATTTGTAGGTTATACAAATCACAGGCAGTTTTTGGGCACTTTGTTACTACATTAGGTAAGTAATACTTATTAAATATGGAAACTATTGAACTGTACATGTTTACTTATTAAAATAAAGTATTAATTATGTTTAGACTTTAGGCTTAACTAAATAAAATCTGACTTAAATGCGGCAATGGAGTTAGGCGGTATCAAATATAATACATTTATATTTTTTTAAGCAAACATGTGACATATGCGGTATTAGTTCTCATATCTTTTTACTTTTTTATTTTAAATGTTATTTATTTTATCCAGCAGTTATGGACTGGGAAGACAGCCAGTCATTTACTGAAGAGGCGACAGAGCAGAATGGTAACTTTTTGAGCGATTCCGAACTTTACGCAGCCCTTGAAGAGTACCATAACAGTTCCAGACTTGTACGAGGAGACAAACGTAGAAAACAGTCTCCTGATGGTCTGATTTCACTGGGAATAGGTCCTAAAGCTGCCGAGTTGTCGCTTAAGGAAGGACTGCTTATTTTGCCACATAAAAGTGTAAATAAAAATTTTCGTCTGCAAACTCTAAATCATGAGGAAAATTCCAACTATTTTTCAAACATAAATACAATGGTAAATACTCAAGACGTTTGTTCGACTTCCGATGTGATTTCTACATCTAGACATTTTTTGTTAGAAAAAAAGACTTTCCCACTTAAAGAGAAGTTACTGGAGAATATTCAGAGTCCGATATTAGTTAGAGATGTGTCTGAATCTCAAAACCACAAAAATTCCATTCCAGAAGATCCAAACCAACTCGAAGCAGGCACAGATAAGGATAGTGATTATGAACCTGGAGAAGATTTAGAATCACATTCCTTTTGATGGCGATGCACATTCAGAAAAAAAACGAAAGAAAGGAAACCGGAGTGAATGGAAAACTACAAAAAACAAAAGATTAAGAATGAAAGGAGAATCCTATTTAGGATATCGAAGAACTCAACAAGAGAAGATTTTTCACGATGTTGAGAGAAATGAACGCAGAATGGGATCACCCTGTCGTTCTGAGATGTGCAAAAAAATCGAAGAACAGGTCATGCAATGAATTGCAAGAAGAAAAAAGAAAATATCTTTTTACTGCTTTCTGGAAAAAAATGATCTGGGATCAAAGGAAAACGTTCATACTAAATACTGTAGAAAAGCAACCCGTTAAACGTCGCCGAAATCAAAGTGAGAATTCTAGGCGTCAAGCATCCCTTCATTATTTTATAAATATTAATGTCAATAGAAAACAGGTCTGTTGTAATATGTATCTTAATACGTTTGGAATTAAAAAATGGACAGTACGTTATTGGATAGATAACATTCAGAAAGAGGGAACAACTATAGCTCCAAGTTCTTTAATAACTCATTCACGGACTGCTGATGTAGCTTCATGTAGACGAAAAGATGACAAGCTATTTTTTAATTCATTTTTTGATTCGTTACAAAAAATGCCTTCTCATTATTGTAGACAATTTACCACCCGAAAATATCTAGAACCTTTAATTACGTCAGCCTCTCAGCTATACAATTTATATCTTGAAAAATGCCAACAGGAAAATGTTACAAAAGTAAGCAGATTTACATTCGATTCAATTTTTAAAGGACAGAATCTTTCACTGTTTTCTCCAAAAAAAGATCAGTGTGATTTGTGCTGTGCTCACGAAACTGGAAATCTTGCTGAGGAAGAATACGCTAAACATAAAGAAACAAAGAATAGGGCCAGAACTGAAAAAACCAGGACAAAGAAAAGGCAGTAAGTAATTTAGCACACGTATTTACCCAAGATCTCCAAGCTGTTAAGTTATCTGCTCTTACAAGGGCTATTATAAAAAAAAACTAAACGTACACAATTTTACAATGTATAATCTCCAAACCCATGAAGTTGTTTGCTACTGGTTTGACGAGACCGCCACGGATCTTGTAGCTTCTTCATTTGCATCATGCATTGTTCAGACACTATCTAAAATTTTATCTGATAATTTATTACCGGTTATCCTTTGGTCTGACGGCTGTAATTATCAAAATCGGAATACAGTTCTATCTAATGTCTTGTTACATTTAAGCAAAGAGTTTAATGTTGATATAGAACAGAAATTTTTGACCAAAGGACATACGCAGATGGAGTGCGATTCGGTACACAGTGCCATCGAAACAAAACTAAAAAACAAGGACATATATCTACCTGGACAATACTGTACTATTACAAGGGAAGCTAGACGAAAGCCTTTCCCATATGAAAGCCATTTTCTTGATCATACTTTTTCAAAGACTATTCTCACAAAAACTTTTTGGTGTATGATTTAATTAGACCAGGAAGAACTACTGGTGATCCAAGCGTTGTGGATATCAAGGCGATTAAGTATAGTAAGGGTGAGATTAGTAATAAAACCAACTTTGATCACGAGTATTCTGATTTACCCAGAAGACCGAAAAAAGCTGCTGATAGCTTCTCTTTACTTTCCAGTGCATCTCCTCTAAACAAAGATAGGCGAAAAATTTCATACTCAAAATGGAGAGACCTTCAGGAACTAAAGACAGTTTAACTCAAGATTGTCACTCATTCTATAACGAGATTCCTCGTGATAAACGCAATTAACAAGCTAAAGTTAAATGCCTTTTTTAAATTTTTTTGATTATAACCATCTCAGCGGATTTATGATTTTTCTCTGTCCTTTTTTATCAGTTACTTTTCTTTAATAAGCAATGAATATAATTTGTGTTTTGTTTGTCTTTGACATTATTACTAATGTAAGTACTTTTTAAAAATAAATAACTTTGAAAGAGTAAAACCAAATTTGGTAGATTTTCACACTTTTATTTTAAAAATAAAAATTTTTTAAACAAACATGTTAGTGTTTGTTTAAAAAATTTTTATTTTTAAAATAAAAGTGTAAAAATCTACCAAATTTGGTTTTACTCTTTCAAAATTAAATGGATTTTCATCAAGTAAAGGCCGAAACAATAAAAAAAAAAATAAAATAAATAACTTGGTAATAATTATCGTTAATCATTATTATTTTTCTCCCATTTTAAATATACATAATACTGCCTATATACAAGTTCTAATAATTTTTGATGAACAAATACCGCCAAAGTATCAAAAACAAACTTAAAAAATAACATTAAAAAAACATTAAATTAATAAATTGTTGTATATTTTGATCTTATATGACATTAAACTTGTAACAGGTTTTTGAATAATTCCAGTTATGAGGCAGTTTTTATTGCCTCCTGAAAAGTTAGCTTTTTGGTACTTAGGCGGTTTTGTTTCTTAAACGACGATATGGAACTTCAAAGGATGCGTCATCTGCTGTATTTTTTTTAATTTAGTCTTATATATTTGACAAATGAAATTTCTTCTATCACTTTATGAATTTATATTTTCTACACCCACATGGATATTAGCTTATATACGCACAGACTACAAAAAGAAAAAGTGTACTACTGCCATTAACTAAACAAATATATTTTATGTCCATTCTTTATAGTGAGAACACTGCAACATAATGAAATCCACCATTCAGAGTCCATATTTTGGTAACACGATGACTGTTATTTTTAAAATTTTAAATAAGTGACAATTCTGTCAAACTAACTGTCAGTATATTTTTCAGTTATTTAACTTAAATATACAATAAAATGACTTCTTTTTGTCTAGAATTGATAAATAATAGCATTTCTATTTTTATTTATACTATAATTATAAATAATTTGTTAATTACTTAGGCCCTTCCTATGGGGCCTCAGTATTGCATTCGTGCAGACGAAAAAATTTTCTTATCCCATTTTTTTGTATTTTTTTTTTCACGTTTCTGAAAATGAAAAAAAAAATTGTCTGTGTGTATGTATGCCGGCACGATAACTCTATAAGGAATAAAAACTATGTTCCTGAGAGTTCGGTTTAAGACTATTTCTATGCAATAATTGTAATTACTTTTTCTGATACACCCCCATAATTTTAGGCCATATGTTCATACTGACGTTAGAACTTGTTTGTAAATCAGGACTTTATTTTGCTCTTCAGTTTTCATTTTTACATGCTCCTTCCAATTTAATTTAGCATCCAGATTTAGACCCAGATATTTGGCTGTTTTTTTATTTAGTACAATATTGATATTTTTTTATTGGTATATAATCTATTTTTTAGTAGTAAGGTTAATGTGAGTCGATTTTTCTTCGTTAAATTTGCCTACATCACCGTTTATACCACATATATATGCTATTGTCTTCGTTTCGAAGATTAGCTGTTGTTTCTTTTATAGTTGATTCTATGGTTAAGACAGCTATATCATCAACGAATGTGGCTAATTTTATGCACACGACTTAGAATTTCTACCATATTATAGAATATACTTGAGAAATATAATATAACTTATATTATAAAGTATTACTATTTTTTATAGAGAAAATGGTTTGTATTTGTACAAATTTTAACAAAAGGTATTAGTAATAAAATAAACAAACATATATACAAACATTGTGCTTTTTCTTCCTTTTTTAATATTTTATCAATCATGAATTGTTTTGAACTATCAATTATACTAGCCTGTACTACTACATTGTACAAAAATATAATAGTAATATTTTTTCCGTCTATCTTTCATCATATTATTATATAAAAAAATCAGTATTAAATCAATTATTTGAAAAAATAAAGACTTTTTTTGAAAAGGTACGGAAATCTAAAAACTGACCGTCGATTTTTAAATGACCTGTAGAACGTATATTAGGACCATGCGGGAAACAAAACAACGACCGTTGAGCAGTAGCGGACGCTCATGCGCACGGTTCGTACGACTTCCACCTCACTCCCACTTACACTTGCCCATAACAGATTTTGCGTATATGATCCGCGTTTAAATTTTCAAAGTTGTATATCTGCGTTACGGTTTGGTAATTAAATAATACCTTAATATTAAAACAATTAATAATAATAATAGTAATAATAATACGTCTTCATTAAAACAAATGCGTACATACATTTGCACCAGGGAGGCGAAGGTTAGCTATACAGCTACTCTTAACCCTTAACCTTCCTAGTTGACATAACAACATACTATTTACATTATATTTACACAGTAATAACATAATGATCTGTAGTCTTATAGTATTAATAACAAATAAACATATAAATAATTACAAAGAACAAACATATATATATATATATATATATATATATATATATATATATATATATATATATATATTGAATTGTAGTCGTCCGTGGCATCCGTATAGAAATGACCCTTGATGGCATCCGCCCAATATACACCATGTATACTGAGAAGAATTTAAAAATACTAATAGCGTCTTTCGTGAACTCTGTAAGTTTGACAACACTGCTCCGTTTGAAATTGCATGAAATGTTTCTAGTTTGTGTAAAATTCAGCCCCTTTTAGACCTTAAAACCACATGTGTTTATTTTACGGACGTTTAGTTGTACTTTGAATAAAGACCCAAAAATAGATATTTGGGTATTGCTCGTATTTCTTTTACTTTAAATAAATAAAGTGCCTTGGTTTATTTGGTCATAAATTTTTATTTAATTTTTTATTTTATAGGCGACAGATATATTTTGGATAACATATTCTTTATCTTCTGGTTCAGTAAATTATTTTTAAAAACATAAGGAACTAAAACACATGTAATTTTTTAAAACAGTTATCTTTTGTTTTACAGCGTGTGGAGGTGTATTCGAAATAATGAAATTTGATTTAACAAGATATATACAGTAGGAAAACAAAAACATGAGTGTTTACAAATTTAAAAAATATCAGTGGCGTTAAAATATAGAATAAAATTAAAAAGCTTACAATTAGTTAGAATTAAAATAAACGTTAGATAAATATTTTATGTCTGTTTTAATATTTTTTTAATATGTATCATTTCAGGGATAGTTCTTTTGTTTTATTTGATTTATTTTCGAGAATTTGTACATTTTCAAAACCAAAAGAGTGCAAAAAATGTTCTATATAGAACTTGTGTATTTCTTATGACTCCTAAAAAGACAAAAAACAGTCCAAAAATGACGTTCTCCTTAGTAAACAAAATCAATCAAAGAAAAACTGTAATAGGGTATTTTTTTTTTCTAAAATTTTACTTTAAACTTAAATTGGAGTTAATATAAATTTGGGTTAAACATGTAATATTAATGGATTTTTATAGTTTTATAATGTTACTATTTTCTATTAAAACTTGGAAAAAATAGTTGTTTAATTATACATAAAAGCACAAGATTGTATGCCGTGGCTGGTGTTTCATAGCCGAAGCGGAGAGTTATGTTTAATTAAAATTTAAAATTGTCACTTATCCTCAAATTTCTTAAATACGGACAATTTTAGGAAAGTTATGTATAAAATAAAACATATAGAGAATAATTTTGCAAACAACTTTTATTTAAGGAAGTTTCTTCTCCAAGTATAAATAACAGATACATTCAATAGAGTAGAAAAATGCCCTTGTATAAAGTAGCCCCAGATGTTCTGACTATGCCCAAAATCTAATCAGGTTACCACATAATAGATTAAAGCTTGTTTAAAATTTAGTGTTTTTCTCTTTATCCGCTTTTGAGTTATGTTCAAAATTCAAAATTTTCACTTATCCTCAAATTTCTCAAATACGGGTCATTTTACGAAAATTATGTATAGAAGAAAAAATAATTTTGCCAAAAAATTTGAATCAAGGAAGTTTTTATCCAAGCGTAAATAACAGATATATTCAATAAAGTAGAAAATTACTCTCTCATAAAGTAATCCCC